AAAAAAAAAAAAAAAAAAAACTCTATCAATGTATTCATTAAAATCATGAAGTGTTAAAGATATGAAAGAACCAAAAAACAAAAACCTTCTAATTCATTTAGTCTAACTCACGTATCTTACATAAATGAGCAAATTGCAATCTACTAAAGTTAATTAACTTGTACTCAGGAACTCTGCAGTTAATCACCAGAACTAGAGCTAAAAGGGACCCATTTTGCACTCCACCTACTTGTGTTCCTTACCCAACAGCACGGTCCCCATTTAGTAACCTCTTCATCACACTAAAGGTAACTCTGTATTTTCCTCCATAAAAAGCAAGCTGTTGATAAATATTTGCTGAGGTTCAAAATGAGTCTATTTCAATCTTTTTTAAGGTCTCTTATTTTAGCAACTTATTCTGTTTAATTTTCCTTGTCTACACCCTGCCCTGTATGTTCTGAGTACACTTCAGAGATGTCCTGAAAACTTGCTGGCTAACTAGTACCTATGTTTTCTAAAAGTCAAAATATTGGGCCGGGGAGATGGCTCAGTGGAATAAGCGCTTCCCTGGCAAGTGCAAGGGCCTGAGTTCAATCCCCGGTTCCACAAAAAAAAAAAGTCAAAATATGAAAAGGCATACAGAGCACCCTGGAATAACAAGAGCTGATCCTCTACACCTCTCTTATTATCCCCATAAACAAATTATTCATAATTTGCAGTCATTAGAATGTAAGAGGATTTTCTTGATTCAGGGAGTTCAAAACAGTATCTAAATAGATAGGAAAAGATAGTCAAACATAAATATAGTTAGCCATACAACAAAGGATTACAGAGAACATATAAAGAATATACAAAGTCATTCACATATTTTTGTATTTATTCTTTATAAATATTACACATTCTACTGTATGTAGAATGTGTTACATACATTCTGGATATTTTGAAGGGTATGTTGGCGCCTCCAAAACCTAATGTTATTGCTACTTTTAGATGTGATGTATTAAAAAAATAATAATAATAATAGCCAAAAAAAATAGAAAGAAGCAAAAGATAGATCTTTTGCAAATAGGATCTAAGAGACTGAAGGAGATGGGAGAAGGGGAAGAAGAGGGGAAGGAAGTAGAATTAAAGTGTGCCATTTATAGAACCCTAATAACTCAATGAATGCAAATACTGTGTGTCATAAATATAAGCTAAGAATAATAAAACAAGAATGAAAATGGGGAAAGGGGATTTAGAGGCAGAGGGAGGAAGGTGGGTAGGAAGGAGAAGTGAACTAAAAAAAGAAGCAAGTTGTTCTATGCACATATATGTACCCACTCCCCAAGATAACTGTAAACTTCATGTACTGTAAACACATACTAAGTTTTTTCAAGTGCAAATATTACCTCATATGTAAAAAGAGGTGTAGAACAGGAGAAGCCAATTCAAACACTATCTTATACATTCCTAATCAGAAAAAGGCAACAGAAAGCACACAGCCTTACCACTGAGAAATGGTTGTTGAGGCACATAGTTCATAGAAAAGACACCAAATTTGGAAAGGATCCATCTAGAAGCTTTTGTCAGTCTGGAGCTTCTAATTTACAGGCACTCTAGTGGCCACTCTGGAGCAAAGCAGTACTGATTCTCCATGTAGAAAGCCAACCATGGAATGTTGAAGGCTGAAGAATGAAAAGAATAAGAAAATATGGTTGGTTAGTGATAGCTGTTTCTAAAACAAAAGCTGCCAATATTTTAGCAGCTGCACCATAAAATATATCACTACTTTATTTTTTTATTTTTTTTATCATTACTTTATTGAGAAAGAACTTACTGATAAAAAGTAATCTCAAGGCTAGAGAGGTTACTTGCAGGAGCAAAACCCTGGGCTCCATCTCCAGCACCACAAAAGTAAATAAACATCTCAACTATGCAGAGAAAGAAACTATATGGGGGAAAAAGATAAGACATTGAGATTTTACCTTTTAAGGTTCTAATTTAAATGGTTTTTACCACCCACAAAATCTTCCTTAATAATATGTACATCTAATATAGTCATTATCTAAAGACATGCTAGTCATCTGCATTTGTCTTGATGATACAAGGATCAGAATTGTGCCGCACAGGACTTGAGGATACACACATCAGGAGCTTAGGGATATGATCCTCCAACTATCTTTCTTTCAAAGGTTTTCCCAGGAAATAGGTACTGCTGCTGATGGTTCCAACATTAACAAAGGAGAAATGCCTTTATCCGACATCCCAGCAATCCACCTTCTGGGATTCAGATAAAACAATGGCAATAGTACAGCAAGGTTATTGCTGGATGATCTGCAAAAGTGGACACAGACAACAAGCCAATTACCTATGGCACATCCATAAAAAGGGATTCTGTGTAGCTATAAAATGAATGAGAAAGCACTCCGAACTCTTTTTTTTTTTAATATTTATTTATTTATTTATTTAGTGTGTGTGTGTGGCCAGCTCAGCCCACCAGGGGGCGGGGCTGGCTGGCATGTGGTGCTGGGGGATTGAACCGTGGTCCCTGTGCATTGCTTAGCTTAGCTTGTTCAAATAGGTGCTTTAGACCACTGAGCCATCTCACCAGCCCCCTCCGAACTCTTTTTTTTTTCCCCCTCCGAACTCTTAACAAAAGGATTACCTGACCATATTAATAAGCAAAGTACAGAATAGCATGTTATATAGTCTGTGGTTTTTTGTTATATTTTGTTTGAGGTACTGGAGAATGAACCTTGGGTAAGCAAGCACAATACCACTGAGTTGCATTTCCAGCCCTTTTTTAGGAAAAGAGTCTTATTAGATTATCCAGGTTGGCACTGAACTTGCAATCTTACTATCTCAGCCACCTAAATAGCTGGGATAATAGGCATGTGCCACTACACTCAACACAGGCTCTGTTTAAGAAAATATGTTACATTCTATGTTTAAGAAAAAGGGAAGACAAATATTAAAAAGCATTGTAATTAAAGCACTGCAGTATTAGAAAGCATTGGCACATACTTGTTATCCCAGCTTTTTAGGAGGCTGAGACAGTATGACTGCAAGTTCAAGGCTAGCCCGGGTTACAAAATGAGCTGAAGACCAACTTAAATTGCATAGCAAGACCCTGTCTCCAAAAGACAAAAATAAATAAATAAGCATAAAAGCAAAGAACAGCAGAGTATTCTCCAGTAAGGTGAAATTAAAATAAATTTTCAAAAACTGATATGGAAAACTGCTATTAAATAAAAAAGAAATCAAAATCATAGCTGTCAAGAGAGTTCAGTAGACAAAGCATCTGTTTAAGCAAACTTAGGCAAGCACAGGGACCATGGTTCACTTCCCAGCACCACATACTACACCAGCCCCACCCACAGGGCAGGCTGAGCCAGCCAGAGTCTGGTGTACATCTGTAATCCCAGCACTGGGGAGACTGAAAGCAGGAGGATCACTATGAGTTTAAGCTGCATAGCAAGACCCTGCAACAACCAAATACATTTAAAAAAAAAAGAGAGAGAGAGAAAAAGAAAAATATCAAAATCATCATTTTAGCCACATTTCTAAACTATATTAAATGTTTTCCCAGATGTCTACAAACAATACTGCTATAAGAATAAATCACTTTCAAAAAGTAAATACTGTCACAAATGGTAGTACACACCTGTAATTCCACATTAAGGGAGGCTGAGGCAGGAAGACCACAAATTCAAGCCCAGTCTAGATAGTTTAACAACTTTACAAGACCCTGTCTCAAAATTCAAAGGGAGGGATGTTGGACAATACAGCTCAGGATAAAGGCCTTGCCTAATACTGCTAAATTCCTAGTACTGCCAAAGGGGGGGGGGGGGTAAAGTAAGTAAGTAAGTAGATACTAAGGTGATGCTATAGACTGAACATTTGTGTTCTCTCAAAATTTACTTGTTGAAATTCTAACCTCCAGTATCATGGTACCAGGCAGCTGGGGCCTTTGAGAGGAAATTAGGTCACGAGGCCCTCATGAATGGGAGCATTGTCATAAGAAGAACAGGAAAGCTTGCTTTTCTCTGTCCTCTACCATGTGAACTTACAGCAACAGGACAACTTTCTGCAAACCAGGAAGTAGGTCCTCACTAGACACCAAATCTTCCTTCTCTGTGGATTTCCCAGGCTCCAAAATTGTGAGAAATAAATTTCTGTTAAGTCACTCAATGTCTCTATTCCATTATTTAAAAAAAAAAAAAATGGCTGCAATCAAGAAGACAGATAAAACATGTTGGTAAATACATGGTTGGAATCCACATTAAAGTACTGGTGAGAATATGTCTGGCAGTTCCTCAAGGGTTAAATGTAACCCAGTATGCTCAGAAACTATCACAAAGCATCAACTACTAGGACCCCATCTAATTAAAAAACTTTTATACAACAAGAGAAACCACCAACAAAGTGAAGAGAAGCCACAGTGTGGGAAAAAAATCTTTGCGAGCTATTTCTCAAAGGACTTATATCTAGAATATATAAAGAAGTCAGAAAACTCAGCAGCCCCTCAAGCTTAGAGACTTAATCCAAAAACAAGTATTTGAAATTAACACACTTTTCAGACAAAGTAGGAAAAGCACACAAATACATGAAAAAAAATTCAACAACACTGATCATTCTACAGATGCAAATTAAAACAACACTGAGATTCCATCTCACTCCAGAAAGAAAAGCTATTATAGGGGCCAGGGAGATGGCTCAGTAGAATAAGCACTTTGTCTGGCAAGTGCAAGGGTCTGAGTTCAATCCCTGTTTCCACCAAAAAAAAAAAAGAAGAAGGCTATTATCAAGAAACTGCCGGGGAGATGGCTCAGTGGAATAAGCACTTCCCTGGCAAGCGCAAGGGTCTGAGTTCAATCCCCGGTTCCACCAAAAAAAGAAAAAAAAAGAAATTAACCAATAACAAATGCTGGTGTTGCTGTGGGGAAAAGGAACCCTTCTACACTGCTGATGGGAGTGCAAACTGGTACAACCACTGTGGAAATGGCTTAAAAAAACAAAACTAGAGATTTCATTTGACCCAGCTATTCCCCTTCTTGATATCTTCCAGAAAGAGTTAAGAGCATCATCGTACCACGGCAATATATGCACACCCATTGTATAGTGGCACAGTGTACAATAGTTAAAGCTTGGGAACAGCCAAGTGCCCATCAACTAATGAATAGATAAAGAAGATGTGGGGTTTTTATACAACAAAGTAGAGTACTACTCTGCTATAAAGATGGAAGAACTGAGACATTCCTAGGTCAAGGGATATACCTTGAGACCATACTCTTAAGTGAAATAAATCAGACATATGTATATTAAAAAAAAAAAAAAAAAAAAAACAGCAATTCCATTCCCAGGTGTGTATGTGAATGAAAACATATCTGAAAAAAATATGCAAATAAGTGTTTTATAGTAGCATTATTTGCAATAGCCAAATGGTGAAAGCAATCTAAATACCATCAAGCAAGAACATAAAATTAATATGTGGGATATGCACTCAATAGAATATTATCCTTCCAAAGGAGGAATAAAATACTGATGCATGTGATATCTTTAAAACATTGTGCTAAATGAAAGAAATTATCCACAAAGGCTATGTTATGATTCCATTTACATAAATGTCCTGAACAAACAAATCTATAGGCACAAACATTCTTTTTTTTTTTCTTTTTTTTAACATGCACGCTTAGTAGTGCCTAAGAGTAAAAAGAGAACAGCTGTAGAATGACTACTAATCGACACAGGGTTTCTTTTGGAGTATGATGAAACTATTCCAAAAATTAATTGCAATGACTGTATAATTCTGTGAATACATAAAAATTTGTCTTCTAACTCTGTATAATAGGAAAGGCACAGGATTTAAAAATAAAACCATGGGCACCAGGGAGATAGCTCAGTGGTCTAAGTGCCTGCCTGGCAAGCACAAGGACGCATTTGATCCCCGGTACCAGATGCCACGCCAGTCTGGGGTTCTCAGGTACATAGTGCTGGCCATTGAAACGGGGTGGTGGAGCACACCTGTAATACCAGCACTGGAAACGCTAAGACAAGCGAATCACTACTATTCCGAGCTGCGGAGCAAGACCCTATACCAAATAAAAAACAAACAAACAAATAAGTGATATTTTAATAAATAAAAATAGGGCCAGCCAGATAGCTCAGCAGATTAAAGCACCTGCTTAGGCAGACTCGAGGACCAGGGTTTGATCTCCAGTGTGTTGTGACAGTCCAGCTCCCAGGGTGAGCTGAGACTGGGCATGGTAACGTGCACCTGTAATCCCAGTGCTTTGGAGGCTGAAAACGGGAGGATCACTCTGAGTCTAATCTGTGTAGTGAGACCCTGTAGACCTGTACTAAAATACATAAGAAATAAAAATAAAAAAAAAAATTCTCATCAGTCTTGAGACCATGAAGAAGCCACTACATGTAAATTTCCATTTCCTTACAGAGGTGGGAGTCCTCTGTGTTACACCATCTTATTTTTTTCCCCAGGAACAGAGTTGCGTGCCTTCCAGGATTAAATTGTGCTTATTTTAAAATCCACTTAAGTCAGTTATATTTACTATAACTATGTAATGTAGTAAAATATTACATTAAAAATACAAGTGCAAACAAAAAAATGCATTATCTCTAAAAATTAAGCTGTAAGGTCTAATAAAGGCAAGTCATTCTAAAAACA